AGATGCACCTAATTCGAGATTGTTTGAACGCTGCAGATAGATGGAAATTGATGGTAAAATATGACAAATGGAGTACTTTTAATGAAATTCAAGGATCAAAAGGGATCAAATGGAACCTAACAAATAAGATTGGAATGATTCATACAAAGAAGGTTCCGTGCATGGTCCATGCTATTTGGCTATACTTGTTGGGACATATAAGTGTCACAGTGGAGAAAGATCTTTGAGGGAGAAAGTGCCAGCACGAGACTTAATGCCAATACCAACTTCTTTAAGGCTTGCTTAGATCAAGATCTTTTGAAGCATGGAGGCATTCTTAGTGTCATTCAACCAGCGGACGCTCACCCATGGCATGAGCTTGAAGACTATATCAAAATCGTTGTGGATGCCTCGATATTAGAGGATGGTAGAAGTGGCTGCGGAGGATTCCTATGTGACAGCAATGACCAATGGATTTGTGGATTTAGCTGCAAGTTGACAACAGTTCCCCCTACGATTGCTGAACGAACAGTTTTTATCCATAGTCTCAGTATTGCTAGACTAAAGGATATAGGAAAATTCTTCTCTTATCTTATTGTATAACTACTATTAATTTTGCTATTAGAGGCTGTGACATCGATCATCCTTTCAAGGATGTTATAGATGATGTTAGACTTTTATTGAATAGGGATTAGAAGGTCATAATCTCTCATGTTTGCAGAGAGAATATGGTCATGGCTGATAGGCTAGCAAAGTTCTCGAATAGGATAGAAGGAAATTTTTTGCTCTTTGATCACTCTCCCCCTCTTAGTCAGTAGGTGGAGGTCGATCAAGGATCAGATTGTTGGCTATCTTGTGTTCTCTGTTTTTTCAGTTAGTTATACAATTCTTATTCAAAAAAAAAAATTGATTTGTATTGGTAAAATAATAATTTAAAAAAAGATGACCAAGAGCTTCTGCGATCTAAATTTCACAGTCAATTTACTACCATTCTTGCACTTTCTAATCCCATATAATCCTTTAAAGTAAATCTGGACAGAAAATTTCAGATTGAAGGACAATAGCTAACCCATTTCAAATTTAGCATCATAATGATAAACTCATTATCAGTCTCGGCTGGCAAAGGGAAAAATGATCTAACACCATGTCTTAAACCATTACGTATCCACATAAAAACTAAGTAAATCCTCTAGTTTCAATTAGCAGTTAAGTTTTGAAGAAAATGAAACAATTTCCTTTCTTCCTCATTTCTATATATCTGCGCCATTCACACCATGTATATATATGTATAACGATTTCCATTTAATTCCTAACACTACACACTAACGGCACGTGTGCGCGCGCGCGTGTGTTTGTGCGTAACTTCCTTCTTCCCTTTTAAATTTCAGCAAATTGATTGTTAAAGCTTCTCTCCCATTGAACCCGATGGATACCCCATAAACCAGGAAGCATAAGCTCTGTTTTGGCAGCCATGAACAGGGGGTGAAGCAAGCACATGCAACCCATAACTTACTAAATCAAGCCTCTATCTCCACTTTACTACCTTTATTCCAGCCAGATACTAACTTTCATCCATAACCCAAAATTTAAACCATCATAATCTCTTCCAAAATGCATTGAATGGAAGAAGATAGGAGGATGATTAGAAGGCTTATCTTAATCCAAATCCAACCTTGCATGCAAGCAATCGGCTCCCCCTCAACCTCTTCTCCTTCTTCGTTCTTCTTCCTCTCGCTCCGACTCTCTCAGCTCTCCCTCTTTTCTCTCGGCGTCGCACAGAAATGAAAATGGGAAGGGAAAGAGTGACTCGGATGGGTAAGCGGGTGAGAGAAAATGAAATTACCATTATGCCCTTATCACCATTTGCTTACAATTTAATCCTTCTCTATTTTCTAAAATAATGAAATAATTTCAGAATTTAATCCTTGATAGTTTTAATAAATTTCCTGCTTTCACTAACTTCTTCAGCCCTTAAAATAACTCCTTTAGAATTTTTCCGGTCAAAATTTAACTCCAAACTTTTTTTCTTGAAATTTTTAAGAAAATAGCTCTTAATTCCAAAAATTAATCCTTAATTTATTTTAAGAATTTTATGTCTCAATTAGCTTTTCTGCCTCATAAAATAATTATCTTAAAATTTTTAGCTCAAATATAAACCTCTAACTATTTTAATTGAATTCTCAAGAAAATAGGTCCTTTTAACTCCCAAAATTAACTTTAAAATTATTTAAGCCATTTTTAGAAAATATTTAGTACCGCCATTCTGTTCTTATTATACTAAAAGTGAAGCAATCTCACCCTCGTTAACAGAACCCTAACACCTTTATTGCGTCTGATTTTTATGCTTCCTCCCACTATTCTAATGTCCCACACAAGCTCGCTTCTTTCTTCCAATCAAATAACTCGCACCACCTGCACAGATCTCCATCACAACCCAAGTCCCTTTCATGGATTTCACGTCAGGACACCGTACGGAGTAATGCATTATTCGAATCTCCCTCCCCATATCTCCCACATCTTCCTCTGCCATCAATTTCCTCTTCCCTGTTGATTTTCAAGCGTGCTCTTTCCTTGTGTGCTTCTCCACACAATGAAAGTTCCGAAACTTACTTCCCAAAGTGCAGAACTTTTTCAGATTTTCTGTTTTTGTTTGCAACACTGACTTTGCTTTAAGCGCTTCAAATAACCTAAAGGTCATGTAAATAAAAAAATGGTTCATTTGCGTGAAGATTAACATGCGTTATATAAACTATACTCTAATTAAAGTATCATATATAAAAGGAGGAAAAAGGGAAATTACTCTTAGGAACCTAGCTAGCTTTAATAAAGATATATTCTTCTCAATTACTTAGAGAATTATCAAGGACACACCAAGCTCCAATCTCTCGACCGTTAAATAAGTTGGCAAAATATTGTATGGTTAAATAAATAACTATCAAATTGGTTTAACTTTTTATTATTTAATAAAAAATTTTATTAGTGATTGACTACAGCCGTCAAATGAAAGACAAGAAAAATGTTTATCATCAATTATCAAAGCATAATCAGACACATATTCAAGGAGACGTACATACTGGAGCAAGTTCATATACTGTAGCAATTACAATGAAAATCAGGTCCAGAGGTCAACAGAACAGGAAATTCACAGAAGGAGAAATTTGTAGAGAAAGAAAGTGACAGAGGGGAAACAAAAAAAGAGCCGACGAATTTCACGCCTAAATCCTACGTCAGAAAGAAATAATAATAAGTCATAGAAAGAAGTAATTATTCCTTTATAAGTGTTGTCTGAATCTGAAGGCATGGTTTGGCCCGGGAGAGCTCCTAAAACCCAACTTGTCTAAACTTTTTTGTATCAAAGAAAGAAGTACTCAGTATTTTAGTATTACACTGCAACAGATGCATTAATCGCTTTCTTCGCAAGTTGTCAACTAGTTATAACTTCATACGAGATGAACATTTTTAAGAATTAAATGATATATAAAATTGAAGGACTTGATGAACATTGGAAATAAAAAAACTAGCCCTCAAACTAAATTAAATGTGAATTTGATTCGGGCAGGGTTAGAAAAATAATAGGGACTTAATATGCCTTTTTTTATATAAAGAAGAAAACTATAAATATTATTCTGCATTACAATAAAGAAACGAATAAATAGAAATTATCTAAAGGAACCAAATAGAATCCAGGGGCGTTGCTAACGCATGCTTGGCCAGCATATCAACTTCAAAATTCTTCTCTCGTTGAATGTGTTGAAGCTCAACAAACCAATATCGTTGAAGTATTGTATGACATTCTAAGATTAAATTCCAATTATCATGAAGTTCATCATTTCCATCCTTGATAAGGTTAATTCCATCCAAAGAATCATTTCTTAAGCAGACTCGTCTATGATTCTCGTCCCGTGCCTTTTCAAGACCAATATAAGACACGCTCAAAGTTCCGATGTTAAAGGACTTAAAATATGTCTTTGATAACCGATTCGTTATTTATTTTCAATAAATTCGTTAAATTCGAAACAGCAATTATTTTATCCACTCAAGAAATTTAACGGAAACACATTGTTAATTATGCAAGGAAGACCGACGTAAATTTTTATTATGAGAAAAAAACTATCTCTTAACTTCATATGATGCTTCGTTTCTGAAAATCCAAGTGAAAATAGGCATGACGAACATAATTATTCGTGAAAGCGAAGCTCATCTCTATAGATCTAATCAAATCCAATGTTATACGAGCTGTACATTTACTTCATCACTACCTGGAGGATAGAACATATATATGGTTTGAACAACTGTGAGAAAGAGGAGTACAGTTGCAGCAATAGAAGCACCAGTTTGCCAAGGTGTACTACAATAATCTCGTCTTAGAGTTGCCTTCATTTTGTGCAAAGGATTTTGACAATAGCCATTCAACCTTTGGCAGATATCAAGGTATTCAGAACTAAAAGTAGAGTGAACGACATGTTCCGAGAGACCACTAAATGATAAAGCAACTTTATTGGGATCACCTAAACGGTTTTCGACAATTTTGCTGTGAACAAGGAGATCCACATCTTTATATGTGTCTATTAGCCGATCAAAAAGAAGAGCATAGTCAGCAATCACTACAAAAAAATTGACTTTCAGCGGCGACAAAAGTCGTCATTGAAAGTATAAAATTCAGTGGCGACTATTTTGTCACCGCTAAAAGTAATACCTAAAAAGAATTGGCTTTACCTAGGGCTGAACATGGACCAGACCGGGCCGGGCAGGGCATTAGCCCGTGGTCTGGTCCATTTTGGTGTTCGGGCTAGTCTCCCCAGCCCGAAGACCGGTCCTGCCCGGTGAAGAACCCGTTGTTCTTCGGGTTGGGCGGACTGGACCAGGCTGGACCGGGTTACTGGTCCAGTAGGTCCACCAATCCAGTCTGGTCTAGTCCAGGTCCATATTCTTTGCCCTGTATTTTTTTTAAAATTCCTAATCAATAATTGCCAATCTATTACATAAAAAATTCCTATCTACTTGTCCTAAACAAAGTAACATCATGAGAATACTAAATTCCAAATAAGAATAACTTTAAAACAATCTACAAATTAAAACCGAGGAGCTGAAATCAAGTATAAACTATTAAGCTATAAACAATACAATGAAAAAAGAAAACTGTAAAGCAACAACTAAAATCCATAATATAATATCAAACAATAAACTAATAAAGTCCATTACACTAAGCCTTGAAAGCCTGTGGCTTGCTGGTTCATGCATGCTGCTGCACTTTTCAGCAAAATGCAAGTGCGAATAGGCAGAACCGCAGAACGGCAGAAGGAAAGTCCATTACATAACCCAATTGGGGAGTCATTGAGCCCCTTTGACTTGAAATGGAACCTTGCTCCTCCATTTCAAAGTGATAAATTGATAATATATCTGTAATAAAATGAACCAGAAATGAGAATAGAATGACAATAATGAAGTCTTTTGCTTTCTATTTATTTTTTTTCAACTTCAGGAGCAATAATTAACTGTGGCAGAGCTTAGTTCAGCAACTAAGTAAACAAATTATTTAGTTCAACAATTAAGTAAACAAATTATTTCAGCAATTAAGTAAAAAAAAAGACATATAAATCGGACCAAGTTAGTTCAGCAATTAAGTAACCAAATTATTTCAATCAATAAAAACATTCTATTCAACTCAAAATAAATACTCCATCACAGAGCAGTCAGAGCTTAAAATGGCGCTAGACAGGCTCTCATTTATGTTAGCCTTCTCCCTCATCCAACCCCTACCCAAACAAAAGCAATTTAAATCTGGACATTTAACATACAAAGTTTGAAACTTTATATCTTTAAAGCAACCAGGTCCTTAAAACGAATCCAGGCCCCTTTCAGAAAGGGGGAAAAAAACTTTTATCTGCCTCTTATATGCAGCGAAGATCGTGAGAATAGCCAAGTATTCAAATCTAACAAGAGAATATCATATAGATGTTCTTTGGGAATGAAATACTAATAATAACACTCAAAAGAGGCATCAAACTTACCTGGATCTGTAGTGATGATGACGGAGAAGGAGAGACGCAGCGAGCAAAGAGTGAGCAGCAGTAGCAACTAGCAAGCACAGCAAGCTGCTACGGCTTGGGGTTAGCGGTGCTGCGTTGCACAAATCGCAAACAGGGACGGCGATGGGGGAGAACCAGGTGGCCACTTCACTAGACGCTAGGTTTCGAGTCTGGAGGCAATTTGGGAAATGTCGAAATGGGAATGGAAATTGAGAGGATCTTGGATAGTGGATAGTGGACACCTGATGGTTGATGTGGGACGGTGGGTCATGGGTGATGCACTAGTGCAAAATCGCAAATGGGCCAAGGGAAATCAAACTTGGGCTATTGGTCCCTATAAAACTTTTTCTTATATATATATCTTGCAATTCTTCGGGTAGGACCGGGTTATTAGTCCAACAGGCCTACCTGAAACCCGGTCCTACCCGGTATTCGGGTCAGACCCAGTCTGGCCCGAATTTCACAAGGCTTTTTGGACTTCTCAAAAAATTAGACAGGGTCAGACCAGGTAGAACTGGGTTTACCGAGTTACCGGGATTTATGTGCAGCCCTAGCTTTACCAACGCCACGTCATCACCGCCGGCCACCACGTCATCATCACCGGCGGCCGCCACGTCATCATCATCGGTAGCCACATCATCACCGCTGACCGCCACGTCTTCACTAGCCACCTCCATGTCATTGCCACATCACTCTTCCTCGCCACGTCATCGTCCAAATATTTTCACCTTAAATGTGTCCTCTTCAAGGTTCGAACTCGTGACCACTTCCTTTCGTGTCCAATCTTCTCGCCGCTGAGCCAGATTGAATTTGTTTATTAATATTATAAAATAAAATATATATTATTATGTCACACTTTCAGCGGCGACAAAAAAAGTCGCCGCTAAAAGTCCACTTTCACTGGCGATAAAAAAAGTCACCGCTGAAGGTCCACTTTCAGCGGCGACACTTTTGTTGCTGCTAAAAGTCTTAGTTTCAGCCGTGAACTTTCAGCGGCGACAAAAAAAGTCACCGCTGAAAGTCTTAGTTTCAGTAGTAAACTTTCAGCGGCGACAAAAAAAGTCACCGCTATAAGTCCACTTTCAGTGGCAACAAAAAAAGTCACCGCTATAAGTCCACTTTCAGCGGCGACAAAAAAAAGTCGCCACGAAAAGTCGCCGCTGAAAGTGGACCTTCAGCGGCGACTTTTTTGTCGCCGCCGAAAGTCTGTTTTTTTGTAGTGAATGTCAGCATTATTAGGATAATGGCATTGTTCTAATGCTATAATATTACCCCAAAAAAGCTCAGTGTAGACATCCACCCGAGTTTTTGGAATTTCAAGAACATGCCCTGAAAATCTCAAGTCCAATAGGCATTTGCTATCACTAGCCTTGAACTTGATGCCAGCTTCTTGCAATTTATTCCCATTGTATACAAGAATGTGGCTTGCAACCTCCTCAGAGAATGAATGTCGACGTTGAGACATTTTTCCTTGCATGTGAAACAATCTGATAAGATCTGTAAAATGCTTTATCTTAACATCAGAGTTAGGCCTTAATTGTTTTGTGTTAAAACACCCAAAATAGTCATATGTGAGCCTAAGAATTGAAGGGTGGATACAGCAACGGTCATGAGGAAAAGCTTTATTGAACAGCTCTTCAATAACAAAGAATGGAAGTTGATTCTCAAGCAACAGTAAATCAAAACATATAGATTCCTATAACCATGGCTGTGACAATTTACCATTCTTGAGTAACTCATCATTCCCATAGCACATGATGAAGAGTTCAATGATGAAGCTAGCATCCATTAATGTTAGCTTCACAAGTTTTTGTTCAGTAAGGGTGACGGTCTCTGAATAAGAAGCACGAATTTTTTACTCTAAATGTTTTATGAAACAAACCAAATCGTCCAGACTTGACATAGCTCTTTGAGCAAATCTTTTGAACAATATTTGTTTATACCTTTCCATGTCTTGCAGCCTCTCATTTCCATAATGAAAGGGGCCAATCGAAACAACTTTTGGGGTATAAGCCTCATCTTTCAGATGACGGAGTGTAATAGGCACCTTGTAGATACAACAATCTTGTAACAAAAGATCATCTCTGCATTCTTGAAAATTTTCTTTGATGTCTGTAGTCACCTCATCTTCCACCTATGAAGTATGATTTAGATGCATATGTTATGTGTTCCAGAAGATACCCGCACACGTATTACAAGACTTTCTATGCGTTCAAAAGATATATATACATATATTATGAGACTTTCCATATGCACGAAATAATAGCATTCCCATTCATTATTATTACCCTCACACGTATTGACATTTGAACCAACCACTTAGCTTACATGTACTTCATAGGATGATCCAACAAGAGCTCAAAAGACTTGGTACTGTTTATTTATTGATTGTATTAAACAGTCCTCAATTTAGTTTCAGTTTTGTCACGGTTGAATAATGATGATGATGATTAAGTAAAGACAGAGATTTTAAATGACGCCTCAAGATTGATCTGTATTGGTAAAATAATAATTCCAAAAACGTGACCAAGATCTCTTACGATGTAAATTGTGTTCTTAAGAATAACTTGTTTGTATTCTCATAAATAGTTTATAACTAAAACCATATGAGGGTGAAGAAAAAAAAGCTCCAATGGTGTATTAAACACAAGCAATTTAACAAACTTCAAACAAATTGAAGGGAACGTAACAAAATAAGAAAAGTCATTACGAATGAAAAGCACAGGATGCGGAAAGGATTAAGAACTGAAGAAAGAAGAAAAAGGTTACGGCTAAAAAGTATACTAATTGAGAAATTAAACAGAAGTTTCCTTAAAAATAGTAAGCTAAGAGAAAGTATATATAGAAAACAAGAAAAGAATTCAGAACTGAAAAAAGAGTAGTAAAGGATGCGTACATGTTGTTGTTGCTTGTAATTGGACGATAAATCTGTCGGCCGAGATGAGAGAAGTGGTTGCATTTCACCGAAGGCCAAGTCTGTTTGGTTCATCTCAGTATGTATCGCTGCTGCCACCTAAACTTAATCAAACAAGCTAATAATACAGATATTATAAAAGTACACTGTATTCCTAATTAAAGTATCAAATATGTGAGGGGGAAAAAGGAAAATTGTTATAGATATTAAAGCTTGGGAAATATAAATGTTTCTTTTCTTAATTACCAACTGAACTGGAATCTCACCATTTGTTAGGTACTCTCAGTGGTCAAGCCTTTCTGCTTCATGTCCTCCATCTACCAGATTTTTCTTTTAAAATAGTCTCAGAGAATGTGCCTTTCCGATCTCTTTAAATTAAGAAGCACCCGTCAATCCTTATCTAATGTATTGGGGAAAAAAATAATGATAAGGAAAAGAAGAAGAATTTGTTTGCAGCGATTATATATATGCTGTTAACAAAAGGATAATGGTCGATTGAAAACAAAAATAAACAAGATCGTAGATGATTCATCAATACCTCATTCTTCCAAATGATCGAACGCATACAGTCTGAATCTATAAAATGAAGACTTAGAGAGGATATATGTGTGCGTGTATTGCGTCTTGCGTTTCTCTCTATATTTGCAAACAACTTCACAAAAGCAACGCTAAGTATTTTCTGATGGTTCCATTACTCAGCTTCTGCTTATTATTCTATGGCATGAAAAATTCATCCCCACCATACAAGCTAAAAGCACCTTGCTCTCTCTGCTCTTTGGAAAAAAGTTGTTATCGCGTAGGAGGGAAGCAGTATTATTCTTGATAAAGAATATCTTCAGGGCATTTTGAAAAGTTTAATACTACATTCGGTTCTTAATATAAGAGCTAGTTGACTAATTTGAATAGATTAAAGAAGTACGTTATGTTAGTTATTTATAATAAATAGGTGTTGTCCTTTCTAGAATACCCTTTCTAATTATGTGTATTAGTTAAAACTACCATTTGATTAAATATTTAACATGTGTAACTGCTACAAGGACTACTTTAAGAAAATAGATAAATATAAGAAACAAAGTGGATTGTGGTCTCATATTTAGAAACAAATCAAAAGTCAAACTAACTACTACCTCCGGTCCTTATTATAAGACCCCATTTGACTTTTTGTTTGGTCCTAATTATAAGACCCCAATCTATTTTTTCTCCTATATTTATGTATTTTTTTCTAAGATAATCCTTCTAATAATGATAGTTCTAGCCAATATACTTAATTAGCAAGGATATTTTAGGAGTGACAATACTTATTTATTATAAATAACTAACTTAACTTACTTCCTTAATCTCCTCAAATAAGTCAATTGGGTCTTATAATTAGGACCGGAGGTAGTATTATATTAAGAACTGGAGGTAGTACTATAAAACCATTTGAATTTGAGCGAAAAGTCTAATAAATTGTATATAATTCATTGCAATTTCTTTCAGAGTCCTAAAGTTCGAAAACTTTAACACCATTTATTTTCGTAGTTCTAATTATTGTCATTAAATAAGAAAAAAAATGTCATAAATACATTTATGTATGCAAGAAATAAATACAGCGAGGTTGTATAGTAATACACACAAGTTACGCTCAAATAATTATAATGTTATTAAAAAAACATAAAAATTCAACAGATAGCCCAAAAATTTCAATTGCGATCAGTATAATTCAATCTAAAATTTAATATATATATATATATATATATTATCTAATTCCAATTTTTAATAATTTAATATTCTAAAAAATTCTAACAATCTTGCGATTGAAATGTGAAATAATCTCATTGTGCAAGCCTGATCAAACAACTAAAGCTAACAAAGGCTATATGTTGTTTCGCAAGAAGGCACTTATGAGTCCATTGCCTTCTTGACTTATATTCTTTCCCCGGGCTTCATCACTAACCTTTGAATCCTCATCATATATTATTGAAGCTCCTGCTATTTGTTTTTTTTTTCCCAAGTATTTTTTTTTTTGCTTGCTTACTTTTGGCCACCTGAGGAAGGTTTATGTAATATTTAAGTGTTGGATGTATCACATAGTTATAATTAAACCATCGAGACACCAACAAGAAATTGATTCCCAGTTTCTTTCAAAAGCATAGTTAAAGTTGAAACTATCGATTAGGTTAGTTAGGTTTACTAATCTTTTCAATTTAATCCTTCTGACGTTAAAACGAAACATGACTCTATTCTACCACATTCTTTGAATTGGCAAAACACAAAGATGAGGCGCATTACAACACAACTGAAGTCTTTCTATGTTTTTATGGGAGAAT